TAATGAATACGAGAATACTAATAATAATTAAAGAATACTAATAAAAATATAATACAGGATGGGATGTGAGCGGATCTATAAATGGTGTATGATTCTATCTATAACTAACATTGAGTCGCCATCTCACATATTTCAGCACACTTGGCACGCATTTGCGTATTTCAACCTAACTACTGCAGCAGCAGAGCGTACCCTGCGTGTCGTGGTCCCTCTTGTTCGCGCTAGGACCTCTGCGCCCTCCTGACCTCATGATCGCACTGTCGCGTCTCTACACAATAAGGCCGCGTTCGGCAACTGGCGTCTATTCAAAACAAACGTTGAAGCATACATGTGGGCGGACCAACCTCGCCGTCTCGTTTTTTGGGATTTATGTTATAGGAGAAGATTAGTCTACCTAGAAAATAGACTGTATATCGCTTCCAATCAATTGATTAAGAACTTCTGCCAGAATTTCAACCACCGCTTTACTTGAGCGCTCCAACTCTACGGATCACCATAAAGCCAAAGCAGGTCGGGAACTCCAGCACCTATTGCAGAATCTTCAAGGTTTATGCCAGCGAATCATATAAAGATGAAAAATGTGAAAAAACTTCTTCAAAAAGACAGCTACTAAGGATGTATAATCGCTCAAAAATTAGGTTGCATGAGCTTTGTATCCTTGATCTTCTTAACATAACTTCAAAATTCAGCAGTCGCTCCAACTTTGATATGGATATTGAGCTCATAGCCTCTTCTTGCTGAAATAAAAATTTGGAGCCAAACACCCCACTCCTGGAAAAATTATGGCTCTTTCAATAGACCTATTCAGATTTTGATCCGCCGTCAAATTACGTGCGTATACAGTCACAGAAAATCGGACGTACAGATATCAAGAGTAGACAACTCTCTAGGACAAAATGATGTCCTCCAGAATGTCACACTCTAAGGTCCCGGACGTTAAAGGCACCGTCCACCCAAAATTTCGACCTCCATGTTTTTGCCGTTCCAAGGCCTTCCCATATACCCCTGATTCCGAATAGCAGGTCGAAAACACGCGAAAACCACGAAAACCCTCGATTTCAGAACCCGCAGAGCGATTTCTTCGATACGGTGATTGGTTGGGCGCGCACGGATGGGCGGGACGAACGTCACACCCACCCGAAAGGGGGAGGAGCCAGCGCCGCGAACGTCACCTGAAGCGATTTCCGAAGCAATTTTCTCACTTCGGAAGCAACTTCAGGCAGCACGAGTTGGGCAATCATACAGTTGGGGGCCCCGCAGCTGCTAGGTATCATAAACTCAACAAACCCTATTTGGGTGGACGGTGCCTTTAAAAAGAAGAAGAAGAAGAAGGGGTCTTCTGAGGCTTTCAGGGGGGGGGGGGGTCGATCTCGAAAGTCTTGTCCCTAACCTCTTGTTCATCTCTGCTTATTACCTCTTATCTCAAATTCTTACTACAAGCTGATAGCTGATTAGTGGCACAAGAAGTTTCTGAGCGAATTGCATACAGAAACATCTTCTAGCACCTTCGCGGAGTAACTGCAACACGTAAATCCTGAAAATACAGTGGTATTTCACTCAAGGCTGAAAAAAAACACGTTGCAAGTTTGCTAGTCACTGCTAGAATTCGAAATCCATGAGGATTTCATCATTGAATTGCAATGTTAAAATGCCTTCATTAATAACTCATCGCAGCCGTGAGAAGCAGGTTGGCCATAAATATAGCGACCAGGTTTTCACCTTATATCTCAGAAAGCAAAAGTGCAAACGAGTCATGAACCTAAAATTTATTAGGTAACAACTGGTACATTAACGATCATAAGTTACTTCTCGATTCGGGCACCTTTGGCACGGACGAAGGGGCGAAGTCGCTTGGGGAAGGCATCGATGACCGGACGCAGGAGTGCCTGATTTCGTTCCATTCTCGAATGAGCGCTGGCTTCAGATCCAAATTGGGATGGGGAGTGGCGCAGGCCTTGCTCTCAAGGTAGGACCACAAGTTGTAGTCCAGTGGATTCAAATCCGGTGACGATGCCGGCCATTCTTCTCGGGATGAAGTCGGCGAATTCTCTCTTGCACCACGCTTTGACGACCTTGGCCTTGTGGGCGGGCGCCGAATCTTGCTGGAATGTCCACGAGCGGCTTGAAATGCGAATCGCCCACGGGAGTAGAACATCTTTCAAAATCGTCTCCAGGTAGTAATCTTTGTCGATTTTGACACCGGGGTCGACCAATATCAACGGCGTCTTCCCCGAGGCACACACCCCTGCCCAAACCATGACTTGGGCAGGGTGTGCGGTCCGGTGAACAACTCTTCCCTTCTTGTCGGCTTCCTCGGCATTCCTTGCCATCACTCTGACGTTCTGAGCGTTGAACTGCTGCTCGAGATGAAGAGCTTCTCATCCGAAAAGACGATCGAGTGGTGGCCCTTGTTGCGCGTCCGAAGCAAAAGCTGTCGGCACTTCTTAACTCGCTCCTGCTGGTTCGAGGAGCTGAGGATAGCAACCTTCCGAGTACGGTAGGCATCATCTTAAGGTTCTCGTGGACGACTCTTACCATTGACTTCCGCGAGATTCCCATGTCGCGAGCCATCGTCGAGATGCTTCGAGTCCCTTTTCTTGCTATCCGTTTTCTGACGGCCTCGACGACCTTCGGCTTGCGAGCAGTACGAGGTCTTCCACTTTTTCGGCGGTCTTGGAGTCCACCAAGGTCTCGATAACGTTGGAGTGTGCGATACACGACGCTGCGGTGGATGCCGAGGTGCTCAGCGATCGTGGCGGGTGGGCGGCCGGCTTTGTGCAGACGAACGATAGCGGAACGATCAGGAGAAGGCTTCACCATTTCACTATGAATGGACCAAATGCAACCAACTTTTAACAGGAGTTAGAAGAAATGATAAGATTGAAAAATCGATAAAACTGGCGCGCTATTTGTCTTTTCTTGTCTAAGTCTTGTCGCTATAATTATGGCCAACCCATCATGATGACCTCATCGTGAGGGAACCGATGTAGGAATATTTATCTATCAAGCTTCATCTTCTATGAATATTTATTTTATCTTGATTGTCATCTTATAGTTATAACTAGCTGGCAAACCCGGCTCCGCCCGGCCCTGTCATTATTATATTCGTAATCAGCATGCTCGATTACCCCCCTCTGCCAACTCTCAGCCCCGTAGCTCAAATTTTGCAAAAAATCGATAAAATCGATATCGATCGATAACGAAAAGTAGCCTATGACACGCTCCCTGCCCCGAAGTATATGTGTGCCAAGTTTGGTCCAAATCGGTTCATAAATAAAAATTTCTATTCCGCACATACGTACAGACAGACATACATACAGACAGACATTCAGCTTTATATATAAGATTTGATTTTTATTCAGCCTCTGCCGCAGTTTCAAAATTCAAAATCCAAACCATTTGTCTGCCAAATTTGTTTGTTCATAGCTTGCTCAGCAGCCAGCTTTTCCGACGTAAGGGATCGTTGTACCACCATCTGCAACTGTGCAGCTCTTTCAAAACTTTCCTCGGTTTCAACAGCGTGCTTAAATTTCGCCATTATGTAGTTGTACATACTACAAAATAGCCGCTGTTCTGCCAAGTCTTAACTTCGCAGTGGAGGTTAGGTAGATGTGTGGTATGCCGGAATTATTACAAAATCAGCTGAAACTTTACGTAAGCTGCTTTTCGACATGCTGATGACGAAAGCAATACTTGATTGCATGTAGGGACTTTCTTGTAAGAGTGCTGTTACTTTATAAGGCATGAAGTATCGCTTCAAACAATAAAGGCGCCAATTCAAAACAAAAAAATATGATAATTGCGTCAGGCAAGTCAGATCCCCACATGAAACTTCTCGGTAAAGCGTACAGTCTGCCCCAATCGGGATCAGACCGAACCGTCGGCAGAATTTGCACACTCGCAGCGCTAGGGTCCGCGCTGCATATGCGCGCTGTCGCAGAGCGAAGAGATTGAGGAGGGAGCAGACTAGCTAGTCGTAGAAGTGACGCGATACCCTAGCGACGCGGACTCCCGCCATGCCAATTTTGGCCTGTTGGGATTGGGGCAGACTGTACAGCGGCTCGTACAACCAACCTCGCAAGACCATCAAATCTCGATTTGTCCTTAGATATTTCATTTTTGATAAGGCGGATGAGTTAAACTCTTGTAACACAATCCGCACACAATCTTGGGTTATCGCGCATAGTCTAAGTAACGAACTGCTTCCCGTTGCTCAAGAAGAACCGTAAGTCTTGAAATTCCTAGACTCGATAAACGCCTGGAATTTTACTTTGGATCGTACAGTTTCTGCGCAATTGTAGCAGATATTACGGTCTATATACCGCCAAAGTTTGAGTGCGCCACATCCAAGGAGAATGAAGTTATAAAAAAGTTGCAAAACTTAGTTTCCAACGTGATATATCTTTCAGGAAAATTCTTAAATGGCAACCAGCTCACAATTTGAGGTGCTGGAAATCCCTATCAGAGGTCAGTGCTTTTTTTTTAATAACCCAACTTGAACCAGTTGAACTTCTTTCATCCGGTGCTTTGAGGACAGTGACAAACATAAAGCAATGGTAAGATATAAGATGAAATAGTGCATATATTTAATTCGTTGACCGCACTGACTGTTTATCACTGCGGAGCACGGGCCGCGAGGTAAAACGCTTGCCCCCTCAGACAGCGGATAGGACCCCTCCGCCGGAGAAATGGCGGTCGCGGCGTTTACCCAGCGGTGGGTCTCCCATTTGTCCGGCGGAGCCCTCCCATTTCTCCGGCGGAGACCTCCCATTTCTGCTCCGGATACCTCCCATTTTCTGCTCCGGAGACCTCCCATTTTCTGCTCCGGATACCTCCCATTTTCTGCTCCGGATACCTCCCATTTTCTGCTCCGGAGTCCTCCGATTTTGTGCGCCGGAGCCCCCCGATTTTGTGCTCCGCAAGTCTGCCGCGGCAGCACAAAATGATGATGTCATCGGGAACAGCACCAAGATTGAATTTGTTATTTTGATGAGCCAGTGCTAGAGATGCTCGTCGTAAATCGCGCTCCTCATCTGCTCCCTGTAAAACAAAAGAATAACGTAAGCTCTGAGATTTAAGAAAATGATTTTAATTTACCTAGTCATTAATGCTTCTACAAGATGGACAACGCAGAATCCTTGTGAGATGGCATTAAACATGAAACTTACCACCTATACTCCCACCAACCTCCATAGAACCTTCAAAATCGCTTCCTTGTTTGCTCCCGTAATTGCTTCTGCCTTTACCGCTGAAAGCACACGATTGAAAGCTTGTTTACAGAATCGCAAGACAGAACCTACCTCCTAGGTCTACTCCTCTATCGCAAGCAGTTTGCAAGCACACTTTTACATTGCCAATTTTTCTCAAACGGTCTCCCCCTGGATTGCGTAGGCGAGAGATGAGGCTGCCAGGCGGACATCCAGTCACCAACTCAATGATTTTACTGCAATCAATAATCATTTGCAGAAAACATGTGCAAAAAGTCTACTAGGGACCCACCCCAAAATCACTCCGTCGGTGAGATCCGAAAAATCCTTGACCGTGTAATTATAATCATCAGCAAAACCCTGAATGAGAAAGAAAAATAATAGGTTCATTCCTCTTAAGTGCTTACCTGCTTGTAAGTTGGCCTGAAGCCCATCTTCGCAAATGCTTTGTTAAGTGGTGTTCCACTTCCAGACAAAACTTCTCGGCTCAACTCGGCGAAAACATCATCCATACACTGTCAAATTCACCAATATCAAATTTAGAGTTATTGACTTACCTTGAACGACGAAGATTTTGTGAACATTCTTGGATTGTGGTTGATGATCGAATTTGCTTTTGCTGTTTCCACAAAATAACAAAATAAGCAGGTGTGAAGCAAGAAGTGCGAGTGCGAATTCTCAACTATAATGCAATAATTTTCACTCAGATAAATGAATTGTAGAGAGCATAGAAGCATTTTTGAACGGATTGGACTAGCGACATTTGGCAAATTTTAGCATCAATTTTGCTATTTGAACTTGGTGATGCATGTAAAAGAGGATGATTGCTCTGCGAAAAGACATCTGCAAGGTTAGAAAGATGCAAATGCAAAGAAATACGACAGCGAAGAGAGGAAAAGTGCTCAAAAAAGTCATCAAAACGATAGTACTCCTATTCCCATCTCCTTTTATCCGAAAAGTTAGACCCACAGCTGAATTCGCAACCAAAAAACTGACAATGCCTATGACTACTTTGATTTTTGAGTCGAGCAGTGTGTAAAAGAGTAGATGAATAGAACTGGGAAACATTATAACCAATAGCATTTTGATTACATAAGCAGAATGGTACAGGAACAGTAAATCACAAGTAAATATCACCCACCAATGTTGCCTGCACCTCCTTGGTCGACAGAGAAAGTTGCATCACTTGGACGTATGGAAGATATATCGGAAAACCTCGGTTCAGGAACATTGTAAGGTAACTTTGGAGGATGCTTAACATTCTAAAGAAAATTTTAAGCTAGAAAATGTGTGAAGTTATACAAAAAGATCTTACTTGTGCGCTAGAGAGCCGCGACAAATCCAGTTTCGTGCTTCCTTCCATAAAGGAACGCTCCGTCCTTGCAGGGTCAATCTTTGGTGTTGAGAAAGGACCTTCTTTTTGCCATGTACCTGTAATATCGTGGCCAAGTTTTCAAGTATTGAAAAAACTTAAACCACAAAATTCTTCCGGATTCGATCAACCATCATCGCTGTTAGGCTTCATACATACCTGACGATGGAGGTATAGCGGGTATTGGCGAATCGCTGCTGTCTCCGCTGCTTCTAGCTACTTGAAGCTGCTGCGCATGGGTGCATTTTAGGTGCAGCAGCAAAGTATTATCAGCCCTCCCAGCTGATCTACATAGATCAACGAAATGAATTCATGAATCTCATCGCTGGAATCCATGAGTCATGAAATATAGCACACTACTATCACTACAAAGTTTTGTTTGTAATGAGCACGCAGCGCACAAATATTGCACTACTACAGAAATTGAGATAGTTTGACAGATGTTTGTATGTCACACATGATCCTTACGTGTGCTTGGGGCAACAATCCAAACTAGGTCTATTCCCTGCCGTATTGCATAAGTGGGCCAGCGGCATCCCACTATTTTCCTTGATAAACGTCTGCTTCTAACTGTTCATCGTACTTTACTCATATTCTATTTTGATTACAGAGGCCTTGCTGGATTTATCTCGTTCAGATTGATTTGTTCACCTATGCATTGTCTTTTTAATAGTCTCGCAAAATCGTCACAGTTCACTTATCGCAACAAACGCTCTGGAAATCCTTTGAAAACACAAAAAATGGTAAATAGAGGCAAATCCGAGCGAAATCAGCTGATAGCAGCATGGAGCAGCTGAGAAAAGCTCACAAAAAGTGAGCTTCATATCGCTAGCCGCGAGGAGCAGCAACGAGCAGTAGGGAGCAGCTAGAAGCAGCGCAGCATCGCTAGCTATAGCGGGTCTGTTTCGAGTTGGCTGCAGCAGCTAGGAGCAGCAGCGTCGCTTGGCTGCAATCGATACGCATAAAAAGCGTTGCTGCTAGCAGCGACACATCGTCAGCTATAGCCATCTATCGTCAGGTATGTATGAAGCCTTACCGCTGCTACTGATGTTAGACGATGGAATGATCAACATTACATTACATTATTATTCTTATTTCTCCAAATGAGTACCCAGCGACTGGTGAGGACAGCGTATAACAGTAGGAACAGCGTTAGGCACGGGCAGAGTTCACGCGATTTCATCGTCGCGACTGATCCCGACAAAACAACTAACATATGCATGCCGATCTTCTTGCATTTCGGTTGTGATAGTTTTCCAACACGACTAATCGTGAACAACTATCACAACCGAAAATACGAGAAGATCGGCATGCAATGAACGGCAAAGTGATTCATCGGTGGAGATAGCAATAAACGGATTATTTAGACGATACTTTCATCACAACAACACTAGATAGTTGCGCAACTAACCTCATTGTTTCGAAAATCCAGAATTAATCACAAAAACCACTCCATCAATAGTCTACGATGTCTCAGCAAGTCGGAAAGAGCCAAACACTGAAGGTGATTGAGTGCAACCGCACGAAAATTTGAAACATAAACCTGAAAACGGAACTTACAGCAACATAAACGCCAACGCGACGAAGAGCAACGAGGAAAAGAAAAAAAAACGGTAAAGAAACGCGCAAAAACAACAAAATCAAAGAAACGGCGACTAAAATATGGACAAAGAGCGTAAACAGAGGACTCATCACCGTGGAGTTAGACGTTTGCTTGCTACGCGCCAAATCGATACGCAGCCTGCTCCGGATACCTCCCATCTTCTGCTCCGGATACCGCCCATTTTCTGCTCCGGATACCTCCCATTTTCTGCTCCGGAGGCCTCCCATTTCTGCTCCGGACCCCTCCCATTTTCTCCGGCGCGGCTCTTCCATATTTGGCGGACTCGCGCCGGGCAAATTTGTCCGGCGCGAGTCCGCCAAATCTGGCAGAGTCGCGCCGGAGAAATGGCGGACCTTTGCAGCAGGGCCGGAGAAGCCTCCCACTTGCCTGCCAGTGATGTCACCGCGACGGACCGCCCATTTGCCCCTCTCTCATTGGTCAACTGGGTCCGGCGCGACTCTGGCAGATTCGGACTGTCCGGCGGAGGGGTCCCGTCGATTGTCTGAGCCAGTACAATTTCGCCATTGTGCACGTTGTGCTCTCGCGACAATTCAGCCGCATCGCGCGTGGTCCGCGCGTTTAAGCAGTCCGTGCAGTCAATCAACGATATGCTCAAATACTTCCAAAATTTTTTTTCGCTGATCGCCTTCACACTCCCCCCCCCCCCCCACCCTCTTCTTCCAAAAAGCATTCTCAGACCATCAAGCTTACATAGCTTGAACCTTAATTGCTGTATAGCTCATGTGCTCACAAGTACAACGAAGCTTGTCCTTAGGAAATGTGGTGGGAATTCTTTGTGAATGGGTGCTGGCGTTAAGCAATCTTTGTAAAAAAAAAAGATCGGGTCTTTCTCCTTAGGTTTTGGAGACGGTCAGATACATCGGAACTATGAGCAACTCTATATTTAAATAAAGGTAATGGGCAAAAAAACAATTATCAGCCGGTGCGTCCACAAAGGAATATCTTAAGCATGATGTAATCACGCACACCAGTGGCGTACTCAGGATTTCCACTCGGGGGGGGGGTGACAAAAAATTTTTTTCGAATGAAGGTGCGTGGCGTTAGCCACGCACTCCGAAAAAATTTTAGGGCTGCTTCTCAAAATCTTTGCGGTTCCCCAACCCCTAAAATCTGGAAAAAGGGGGCGTGGCTGACGCCACGCCCCCGAAAAAATTTTTTTACAAGGCTAAATTGAATTTTTAAAAATTTAAAAATTATTCTAATTATTTACAATTTTAAACAAGTTACTTGCACACTTTTTATAACCCATATAAGTAACTTTCAAAAGTTTGCGACCCATTCTCGGGGGGGGGGGGGGAAGGGGGGCGCCCCTCCCCCCTCGGTACGCCACTGACGCACGCCCATAGCTCGTTAACGGCGAGTGGTTCCGATGCGAACAGGCAAAGCGAGAAACTACGGAATTCTCACCGAGAAGAATACTATCGGAATCACTCTTTTCACCTTCAATTTTTTGCTGTGGACTAAGGCCCGTATGCACGTACGTCCCCGCTGGGGAGGGGAGGGGAGCTGGATCCCCAGGGGAACGATCCCCTCCGCCGAACCCCGCCATGACAGAGGGGAGGGGAGCGATCCCCTCCCCTGCACCTAAGCGGGGATGGTGTGAATGGTTTCAGAGGTATTGATCGAGCGAACCCCAGTGCATACGGGGTTCGAATGGGGGAGGGGATCCCTTCCCTTCCCCCACTCGAACCCCGTATGCGCGAATTCAACTCAATAACGCGGGGGAGGGGATCGACATCCCCTGCAACGAAGTAGGGGTTCGATGGTGTAGATCATGCCAGAGACGCGGATATTCTGGTTCTGCTCAGTCATTACCAAGCATTTCGTTCATTTTGATGGAGGATTCTCTTTGAAAGCCGGGTTCTTCTCTCAGCGACCTGTGGCTTGCAATTTGTCTTTCTTTTCTATATTCGCCTCTTGAGAAGGAATCCGAGCAATAATAGCTGCCAATTTCGATCATTTGTAGGAGTTCTTGATCATTCAGAAAATTTGCGCATTTTTCATATAACATAATAGTTTCAACTATATAGGCTGAGTAAACACATTGTAACTTTCATACATGACATGTTGCCATTATCTTGTTATTTTAACATAAGCTGCCTCGAAAAAATCTAGAAAGTAGCATATTTGCCTATTTCTGAGTAGAAATCCCCTGGGGAGTGATCCCCTCCCCAGCGTTCCCCTTGTGCATAGCAGGGATGGCTGCTGGGGATCATTCCCCTGGGATAAACGACGATATGCAGCTGATAGTTACAGCGTTTATGGAGAGCTGGCACAATTTGCAGCTTCTGTTATGTGTTAGAATACTGCTTTGAGCGTCCGCGCGGCGCCCCCCCCCCCTTTTCGGCAGCATAACGTCTTCTACCCATTCCCTTGCAGAGACACATCAACTTCTATAGTTCAACATTTTGACGCTGAAATGGAGCAGCATGAACGAAAGTGGGCAGCATCCAAGAAAGCAGGAACATAATGGGAGTAGAAAAAATCATTTTTAGCGCCCCGAGCGCAGTCACTGC